CATGTGTCTTTGTATCAGTACTGCTGACCTCAGAGTGAGTTAGGAAGTGTTCCCTCCACTTTTCTTTGCAGAGGGAGGTCAAGAGTTTAAGATCAGTTTTTTTTTTTTTTTTTTTTAATGCTTTTGACAGATTTACCAGTGAGGGTATCCAAAMCTAGTTTTCTTTGTTGGGAGGTTTTGACTGTTTCCATCTTGCTTATTATATATAGGTCTATGTAGATTTTCTATTTCTCCTTCAGTTAGTTTTGGTAAGTCATTTATAAGAATTTGTTAATTTCTTTAGGTCATCCAACTTGTTGGCAAAGTATCTACAGCAGTCTCCAATAATCCTTATTTCTGAAAAGTTGGTAGCAATGTCCTATATTTTGTTTTTTATTTTAGTAATCCGATTCTCTTAATCAGTCTAACTAGGGCTTGAGACTATAGCTTAGTGGTAATGTCTGCCTAGTATGCACTGAGGCCCAAGTTCAATCTCTAGCACTGCTAAAAACCAATAAAAAATTAAAATATAGCTTAATCCATAAGCAATTTAATAGTTTTTCAGTTTTCTAAAAAAGAAAAATCAGTGCTAACTTTCTCTATTGTTCTACTATTATCCATTTATCTCTAATCTTCATTAAGGCTGGTCTTGAATCATTGGAAACGATTCATTTCATCTATGCTTTATACATAAAGCTTAAATGTAATTTTATATTTTTAGGTCAAGGGTGGAATCATGTTGATGCTCAACAGCTTCTTAAAATTTTTATAGTCATTTCTGATTTATGATGTTTGGACTAGAGATGGCTCAACCTGTAATGTAATTCAGGGAGAAAAAAATCCTCCCATGTCTTAATAGAAGCAAAAGAGCCCATAAGACATTTATTTAGGGTTGGCAATGTAGCTCTGTAGTAGGCTGCTTGCCTAGCATGCCCAAGGCTCTGGGTTCTATTCCCTAGTATGCCCTCCCTCCAACATTTTCATCCTACAAAAGATAAATTCCTCAAAGGAACCATTTCTCCTGTTATTTAACAAGAGCCTGCAGCAAATTTTTTATTGTTTTGTTTTGTACTGGGGATTGAACCCAGAGGTGTCCTACCACTGAGCCACATCCTCAGCCCTTCTTATTCTTCATTTTGAGACAGGGTCTTGCTAAATTGCTGAGGCTGGCCTTGGAATCCTCCTGCCTCTGCATCCTGAGTAGCTGGGGTTATAGGCCTGCACCACCATGCCTGGTCCATATTTCTTGATGAAATGTTGAAAGACAAAAGTGTTCATCAACACCATGTGTGCTTCCTAAATATTGGAGTTTTATAAAAGTTCAGTAAGAAAAAAAGAATGGTCTAAGAGTTAAGGAGTAACATTTAATTGCACATGATATAGAAAAATTCAAGGGGCTGGGGATGTGGCTCAAGTGGTAGCGCACTCGCCTGGCATGCTTGCGGCCCGGGTTCGATCCTCAGCACCACATACCAACAAAGATGTCGTGTCCGCCGAGAACTAAAAAATAAATATTAAAAATTCTCTCTCTCTCTCTCTCCTCTCTCATAAAAAAAAAAAAAAGAGAAAAATTCAAGGGCAATCAAGTGGGTTATTGGACTAAGACCTTGGCAAAGTGCTGGATATTGAATATACAGAGGTTATTTCTGTATTGTAACATCAACAATATAGATGACAGCATTTCAAAAATAAGTAAATTTGAGCTGGATGGGRTGGCACATGCCTGTAATTCCGGCTATTCAAGAGGCTGAGGCAGGAGGATTGCAAAGTGGAGAGCAGCAAGGGCAACTYAGCCAAACCCTATCTCTAAATAGAATAAAGAGAGGATATAGCTCAGTGGTGGAGTACTGCTGGGTTTGATCCCAAGTACCAAACCCAAAAGAAAAAACATAGTAGAACCAGCCTTCCCTTATCTGCAGCTAGCCTTGGAGGCTTCCTCCTGTTCAGCTCCAGGTTGTTTCCAGTTTGTGACTTATAGGTTCCTGCTTTTCCTTCAGGCCCCGCCCTCTTCCCCAGGCTTGTTTAGGGCATGTATCTCCTTCCTTCAACTAGCTCCTAGCTTCAGGAACAGGGGTGAAGAGACAGACTCTTGGAAGCCACCAGCAAGTGTCTAGTCCATGCGCACTCTCAGCTATGGAGGCGGTACTGTGCAATAGCGGCCCTGGGCCTGGAGAGCCTTTCCTGTTCTCTTTCTCTGMAGAACTTCTTGGATCTTGAGGGTGGCAGCTCAGCATCCCTCCTCAGGACAGGCTGCACTTCCTGCTACATGCTTCCTCTTGCCAGTTTCCATTGTTCACTGGCTTAGGGGACTGCCTCTTTTTGTAAACATGCCCAGAGGGAATCCATAGCTGGGTGTCCCACTATCTACACCACAGCCAAGTTCCCTCTGACTGCTCCATCAGAAAGTAAGCTTGATTCCCAGACATTTGCATGTTAAGCCTTTCTGACCCCTGGGACTGGGCAGGCATGGAGAAGGGCAGAGGCAAAGGGGAAAGGTCTGCCATTACCTCTCTGTCTCTTTTTTGATGTTGATGGGCCCTTATTTTATCCATTTACTTATACATGGTGCYGAGAATTGAACCCAGTGCCTCACACATGGTAAGCAAACGCTCTACCACTGAGCCACAGCTCCAGCCCCTGCCATTACCTCTTGTCTGATCTTCCATAAGCTAAGCCCATGCCCATTTAGCTTCTGTGGTGCTGCTGTCCAGCAGCAGTGACTGATGCATCCATATATTCTGGGGGTCCTCCCTCCCACCCAGAGGCTGTGTGAGGCATTCCACCCCAAGGTTTCAGGGCAATCGACTCCATCCTGTTGAGAGCAGTCCACCAGCATTTCTGGGTGGCCTGCCAGCCTCACCTCAGCATGGACTGCTCCATATTCAAGGCCAGGACTGCGGTTTTGGCCTGCCTAAGAGTGGTCTCTGACATGGCAGCTTCTGGAGAGAGAGCTTTCCTATGCACAGGGACAAAACCTATTGAGCCTGAGGCAGACAAGAACARTATACCTTGGCAAAAGGTTGATCAAATTTGTAAGAGCAAATGAATGCATGGCCATTTTTGGTCCAAATTAATGGTTTTATTTACACCTTTAACACTAGCAGGAGTCCAAAACAGACTGAATGTCCATTGATACAGTTTAAATGTAACAAAGAAAGAGCTGAACTATGTACAGTGAGGAAAGGGACTTTTCCCCACACCAGTCTTTTCCTAATTAGCAGTTTCTCATTAGTAGAAACTAAAGACACTTTTTTCGCAATTTAATTTAGRATGAAGTAATGCAACTCTTATAATTCATCACATAAGTTGTCTTGTAAGGATAAAATACTAAGAAAATGTTAAATGCGTGTCACCACCTCTATGGGTTGACAGCTTCGCAGTCACCTTGGCCCTTGAAGTCTGGTGTCATTACAGTCTAACAAGAGCACTTCCGTGAGGCCCAGAGGGGACTTCATGGCCATGATGTCCAGCAGGAGGCAGGCATGCAGCACTATGATGAGCACAGAAGCTACATCCTCTTTCAACTCCATAARGAAAATCATGACTCTCATTCAAATTAATTAGAAGTGAGCCAGGTGGCAGAGAAGTCAGTGAAGAATGAAACCTTTCTTTCACACAGAAGAGGGGGCACTCCTTCAGCCCTGTCTAAAGTGAACTCTGTGCAGAGTCCCTGCTCCTTCAGGAGAGTGCACTGAAGGTCAGTTATTGCTAGCAAAGCCAGAAAGGCCCCTTTCCCACCAGGAAGGTGTTTCACATGGAAAGGCTGTTGGTTTGGCTTGAAGCCCTCTGAAGGAGGTGTGACAGCAGAGGCTGGCCTGTACTGCACATGAGGCCTCTCCCCTGCTAGCCATCCCCAGTGTCTCAGGGGCAGTCTGGGTCACCTTATTGCCAAGGCTCCCATACACCTATGGAGCAGAGGCCCTTGCAGAGAAAGAGCCACCACCATGCTCTGCCAACAACCTTTAGAGCTGTCAAAAGCCCAAAGGATCACAGCCTAGCTGGCCAGAAGAACAGCTTCTGAAGTGTTGACTGTGGGGGGAAGGTGAGAAGCCAAGTCAGGGCCAGGTCCAGTGGGACAATGTCTTTGAAATAGGGGTGTCGGCGACGTGGGCAAAAGCATGGAAGTGAGCAGCTGATAAGGCCACAGTTACTGCCACCACCTCCTGATATCTACACTGGGCAGGCATAGGCAGTAGGAACTGAGGAACTGAGGACTGGAGAGCAGGTGCCAACACAGGACAGATTTTATCAGAAAAGAGAGGACACCCAAATACGTGCCTGCCCTATTGACCTCGAATGTCCTGTGCCAGGTGGAGAACTTTGGAGCACGGGTGAGGTTCCTGAGAACAGTTGGTAAGCAGAGACAGAATGGGATGGGCACTGCTCCACAGTGCGACATTAGGGCTCTGAGGAGAACACTAACAGTGCTACATCTCCTGGTCTGCTATAAAGTAGTAAAGAACGGGCTTTATTGCACTTTCATTCTTAGGAAACAGGGGATTGCCCTGCAGAGGTTCTTGATTCGCAGAAAACACTGCAGATAAAGACAAGGTGCAGGCAGAATCACCAGTCACCTCTGACCCTCAAGGTGGGGGGTGGAGGGTGGGGGGAGAGGAGGGTCCAGTAGTTGGGCTTCCCAGGGGGCCACTGCTGCACCTAGAACCCTTGGGCAGAGTGGACTGTGTCTGGCTTGGTTACTGTGTGGTAGACAGACTGGTCAACTGACAGTTGCCCAGGAAGGTTGTGTGCGTGGGAGAGATAGGGCAAGCTTTCCAAACAGGGAAACTTCTTGGCAAAAGCAGGCCCAGAAAAGCTGGAACCACAATTTTCAACTCCAATGTCCTGACTCTTWCTCCTACTCTGGRATRAMACTACCYCAGAGGAGCMAAGATAAGGAGCCAGATGGGGAGGGCCCCTGGTCCAGCTCCAGAGCATCAGATGAGATTACAAAAGGATCTAAGGGCAAGGGGGTTAGAAACAAAAGAGAAGTTTACATATCAGATGTTGGTTTTGAAACAGTCTTTTTGAGCTCAGGAAATTGAAGGCAGATACCATGTGAAGAGCCCAGCCGGGCTGTCTGTCCATCCGTCTCTCCTGAACAGCTCTGAAACTTCATATATAAATGGGGTGGTACCGTTTGTGGTTGATCTTTTTCCTACAAGTTGGGCAAGTATTAGCATTCTTTAGGGAATCAAGGAGGCACTGGCGACAGAAGACGTGGCCACACTCTGTAGAGACAATGAGACGTCCATTCTGCACAATCTGGAAGACATCAAGGAACAGCCTTTGAGTTTGCTCTTGTCCCAAAGAACCCCACCCCACCCAGAGCTGAGAAAATCAGTCAGAGGGAAGAAGGGTAGCATGCAGCAGAAAAAGCAATAGTAGTCTGCAGAGCCAGTCTAAGTCTGATGAGTAAGTGTGGCCTCTGGAACAGATGGCAGGAGCCTAGGTTTCCCAGCCGGAGCAGCAATATGAGAAGGTTATGAGGAATTTCATAATTGGATTTCATATTGGATTTTGGTTACCCAGCCAGGATAGAGGACACAAAAACTGTCACTTTGCACCAAAGCCCAAGGCACACTGGGGTCTAAAGCTGAAGCATGCAGGGCCCAAGAGAAACAAGTACACCCTTTTTATATGCAGATCTGTAATAGGCCATGTGCCAGCCCAGGTGGGGCTGCAGGCAAGTGTTAAATCCCACCTAATGAGCAGATCCTGCCTCATCGAGCTCTTTCAGTGACAGTTTAGACACTGAAGAGAGAAGAAATAACCTGGTTACTTACCTCTGAGTATCCGTCCATGCAGATGGGACAACTGACAGTACCAGAGGGCCTAAAATCACAGGGCTTTCCATCAGTTTTTCAGTAAACTCAAACATTTGATTACCTGCATGTAAGTTGCCTGTAACCCCTAAAAGGCCTTTCCTTCAGCTTCCACTAACTCTGCCTTAGCACAGGTAACCAAGAGACTTTCAGGAAAGCCAATGGCCTAAGTGGGTATGGTGGCATGGCCATGAGAAGGAGAGACTGAGCAAGAGAAGGTACAGACAACCTCAGTTGCCCTGCTCTCCCCCACCCCCAGCATTCCCACTGCTGGTGGCTGGCACAGCCCCGTCACTGCAGAAATAGTCGAGCCCAGCCCTGGATTCAGTTCCAATTGCACCTAGCCGCTGAGCAGCCATTTGAATGTGCCCTTCTGGAGCCAAGTGCTCACAGTGGCATAAAAAGACAGTAGTACTTCTAGCCCCTGGCCTCCACACAGCAGCAGCAGGGCACACGGGTACCTGAGTCCTGTGGCCCCCTCGTCCCTGGCGTTTCTGGGTGTGGGGGTGGTCACATACACATCTCTGTCCCTGGACAACTCCTCGTCATCACTGCTCACCACGCAGCTGTCGGGATGGTCTTGGCGTAGCCTCCTTGCGTTCCTTCTTGGCCTCCTCCTTTCTAAGGTGAGAGTCACATTTTTAGGGTAAATGTTTCCCACTGGCACTATCCTCACCACCCGACCCAGGGGCTTCAAAAGACCCTCCCCGCTGGGACTCCCAGACAGAAAATGTTGCCCTGCCAGTTCCTCCCTAGAAGGCCCCGTGCAGCTCTACAGGCTGCTCTCAGGGTATTCTGTCTTCCCAGGATAACATGTTCATCACAGCTGCAGGCTGGTGCTGGAGCTGGGGGGATGTCTTAAGTTGTCAGCTTTCTCCAAGATTCAGTCAGCCCAAGGCAGGACTGCAGCTCAACAGTCAGCATCGGGGGTGGTTTCTTCAGCAGGGTCAAAGCTCTTCTACTTGGAGATCTCGGGCCCAGAGGACAGCCCAGCAAGGCTGGCAGGCTGCAGTCCTCACCCATGCCAGTTCTCTCTCCAAACCCACAGCAAAAGAAGATGCAATCACTCACCATCAACAATCTTTTAAAAAGAAGGAGAAAAACAAAAATAATCAGCTTGACTTGAGATGAAACGGACACATTTTCTGTTTCTGAAGTGAGATCTCTGCCAGGCCCAGCCCTCTCCACACAGGGGGAATGTGCACCATCCTAGTCAATCATGGTGTCTTTCCTCCCCTCCAGGCTACTGTTTTCCAACAGCTGAGGAGCTTGAACCTTGTCCTGCCAGATGCCTGGAAGCTGCAGCTTCCTCTTCCCAAAATAGGCAGTACCCAAACCTCATCCAGCMGTCATTCGGACTAAGAGGATGAACTCCGTACACCATCAGGGACACAGTGCTCAGTAAAGGCATTCAGGACCAACCAAGCCAGTGCCAAATATAGTCTTCACCTGGAGAAGGGTTTGGAGTACTTAATGTCATTAAAAATAACTAAATAAACAGCCTGTGTGTGGACCAATGAGTGACACACACCAATCCGACTGTAGTCTTGAGGCCTTCAAAAAAGTCAACGACAAACTCTGGCCTGAGGGCTCAACATTCACATGAACTGTCTGAGGGGGGCCAGAGTCCCTGAGGACAGGAGGCACCACTTCAGGAAAGCCTGGCTGCCCATGTCTCCAGCAGAGTGTCTAATTCTGCAGTGACTGGAGGGTCTGACACTGAAATGACTTCCTTCAGGAGGGTCTGGATGTGAACTAGGTTCCCTCTGTTAGATACTTCTATGCTACAGAAAGGGCACAATCTCCARGGGGAGATGCAATGCCTCAGTCCATGGCTCCTAAAAGGGGCTGTAGTGGGTCTCCTGGACCCAGGTAGGCATGTCTTGGCAGGTCAGGAGTTATTCCTGGACACCTAGCCAGCAATATGTTCTTCTAGGCTTTTTGATACCACGTAAGCAACCATTCCTACACATTCCAATCCATTAAGCCTAATAATAACCAGTGGGGAYTCAGGTATAAATAAATAATGGGATCCTGAAAGTCCTGTATGAAGAACTGGACTGTAGATAAAGCACAGGGTTCATGCAGGGCTTYTGCAAGTGCTCCCCTTTCTCCTGGGCCAGTGATAGGTCATGACTAGAGAAACAGGAACAGGTAACCTCATTACCYAGTATCATTTTCACCAGAGAAGTGTGGGCTGGCACTATGTGGGTGAAGTCTGGGGAGGGGAGTGCAGAAGAATATTGTGCTGTGGATAGGATGACCTTCGCTTTCTTTAGTATCTACACCGACACTGCCTTCATCTGCCTTTGCCAAGGTGGACCAATGACCAGGAGAGGGCACATTGTGAGGAGAATGACATCCTGATTCCCAGCTTTCAGGATATAGGAGCTGGGTCTCCCTAGGCTCCCTTGAGTTAGAACCAGCTCACATGTGGGCTATGTCAAACTCAGGGCCAGACCAGACCCCTAGACGGTGTAGTCCCAGGGCGAAGAGTGTCCCCCTCCAACCATGGCTGAACCAACAGCTAATTCCAAATATGTTTCAAGAGCCATGGAATATATCTACCTCCTGGCTACAGAAAACACAGTGCTTGCCYAGCATGGAAGATGGAGGCAAGTGACAGTATCGTGGCATCATAAATGTCTACTCGGGGCTGGGGATGTGGCTCAAGGGTAGTGTGCTTGCCYGGCATGTGCGGGGTGCTGGGTTCSATCCTCAGCACCACATAAAAATAAAATAAAGATSCTGTGTCCACCGAAAACTTAAAAAAAGAAAGAAAATTCTACTCAAAGAGTGAACAGATGGGTAGAGGTACAAGACAGGCTCTGAAACCTAGGATCTGGATGARGCCTGTAAAGATCCACTTATTTTGAGAAAGAGCCTAGTTAAATCAGTTGCCCAGGCTGGCCTCAGACTTGCAACAATCCTCTTGCCTTAGCCTCCCAAGTAGTTGAGATGACAGGTGTGTGCCTCCACAACTGGAAAATGCTGTACTTTATAGTCAACAGTTACACACATCATGCAATTACTGATGACTATGACTTGTGGCTTCAACAGGAACACCAATAATACTGGTATTGACAGTAACATTCTAGTGGAATAACTAAGCCATCTCAGCCTTTGTGTAGAATAGCTCCCCCTTTCCTTGAGAAACTTCTGGGCTCCWCTTTCTTGGCTCACCTCACCCCAACCTTAATGGGCATCTCCATGACCTTTATTACACCACATAGACACAGACATGGCTCTTCCTGTCTGCAAGAAGACAGCTTTGTTTTTGTTTAAAAAACCTTGARGGGCTGGTGTTGTGGCTCAGTGGTAGAGTGCTTGCCCAGCATGCCTGAGGCACTGTGTTTGATTCCTGGCACCAGATAAAAGTAAACAAATAAAAATGAAGATATTGTGTCCATCTACAACTAAAAAAAAAAGTTATTTAAGACAAAACAAAGGGGCTGGGGGATATAGCTAAGTTGGTAGAGTGCTTGCCTCTCATGTACAAGGCCCTGGGTTCCCAAGTGCCGCCCCTCCAACCCTGCAAAAAAGCTACAAAACCAAAACAAACCTTCTGAAAAAAAATATCTACCTATCTATCTATCTATGCTGCTKAGGATTGACCCCAGTGCCACATGTGCTATGCAAGTGCTCTACCATTGAGCCACAACCCCAGGCTAAGAAGGCCTCTTTTGAGCAGATCCTTTCAATAGCATCTGGTAAATTAAAAAGTCAGGTTCAGACTACAACATAAACAGCATGACTCATCAAGCACACAGGAGCTGACCAGAAAAACAATTCCAAGAAAATCAATCTGACTTGAAAAGACACTACCTTTTGAAATGTAATGACATTTTCATAACTTCCCCCTCACAGACTCARTTTTGTAAATAAAGAAGCTAGTCTCCCCCCGCCTTACTTCTATTAAGACAGCGCATGCTGCAAACATTCACAAGTGTCTGGAAATCTTAATTTACCTGTTAAGCCAGATAATAAAGCAGAAAGTGGAAAGCATAAGCAGTCATGTCCAATGAACAGGCTACTTCTTATCATCAGTTTCCAAATGAAGTAACCAACCCCCCCCCCCCCTCTCTCTCTCACACACACACACACACACACACACACACACACACACACGACAAAATGGAAGAAGGGCAAGTAAACAAATTGGTCAAGAGGAAAAGGAGGGACTGGGGATATAGCTCAGTTGGTAGAGTGCTTGCTTCACATGCACAAGGCCCTGGGTTCAAAATCCCCAGCACCAGGGGAAAAAAAAAAAAGTAAAAAGAAAAAAATAAAAAGAAGAAAAAAAGATGGGGGAGGGAGGAGGAAGAAAAGCCAAGCATGGTGGCACACACTTGTAATCCCAGTGACTCAAGAGGCTGAGGCCTTAGGCAACTGTCTAAAAAGGGCTGGGGATGTGGCTCAGTGGTAAAGCACTCCTGGGTTGAATCCTCAGTACCAGGGGAAAAGAAAAAGGTGAAAGGAAAGCAATAATTCAGAAGGGATAGCATATATAATTCTCAAAAATGGATTTTTTTAAAATTCTACTGGGAACTGAACCCAGGGGTACTTAACCACTGAGCCACATTTCCAGCCTGTTTTAGTGAGACAGGGGAGATAGGGTCTTGCTAACTTTGCTTAGGGTGTCTCACTAAGTTGCTGAGGCTAGCTTTGAACTCATGATCATCCTACTTCAGCCTCCCCAGCTGCTAGGTTACAGGTGGGTGCCACCACCCGCAGCTGAACTTGTTCTTGAAAGGTTCACAGAAGAAAACAAAGCCCAGAAGTAGCATGCATATAGAGACTTAAGACAAATCTCAAATTGAAAAGAACCAACATACAGAATGTGTTTCCTAAACATAATGCAGTAACRAAAAGAAAATACCCATGTTAGAAAGAAAAAAAATTTGAGTTAGGTGCAGTGATGCACATCTGTAATTCYACCTACTTGGGAGGCTGAGGTAGGAGGTGCAAGTTGGAGATCAGCTTGGACAACTCAGCCAAACTCTGTCAAAATAATAAAAAGGGCTGGTGGTATAGCTGAGAGGAGACACTTGCCTCGMAAACTCCAGATCCTGGGTTCAATCCCCAATACTGCCCTAAATAAACAAATAAATTCAATTGAATATAAATACCAGTACCAAAATTTGAAGATGTATCTAAAGAAAAACTATTACATCCAGTTACTGGAAAAGAAGAGATGAAACCAAGCTAATAGAAGAACAACAAAACTAAACTCAAAGAAAGATAACCAATGAAATGAGAAAGAATCCACAAAGCTAAAAATTTGGTTCTTTGAAACATCTACTAAAGCTCTGGTGATACCAAACTAAAAGACAAAATACAAATAATCAAAATCTGAAATGAAAAACGAACCAATATTACAGATGCCACAGAACATAAGACATTATGAAGGAAGTTATATCCAATAAAAGTTAAGATTCTAAGGCTGGGGTTATAGCTCAGYGGGAGACCCTGGATTCCATYCCCAGTGCCCCCCACAGAATAATATAAAACAAAGGGGCTRGGGTTGTATGTCAGTGGTARAGTGTTTGCCTTGCATATGTGAGGCCCTGGGTTTGATCCTCAGCACCATGTAAAAATAAATAAATATACACAAAGCTATAAAATAAATAAAAGAAAAAAAGAAAAACAAAAAAAGAATATTTTAGGATGGAATCAACAAAATTCCAAAAAGGGTAAAATTGATTCAAACTCTAGATTAGATACTTTTACTGTAGAATTCTATCAAACATCCAAGGAAGAAGTAATTCCAGTCTTTTGAAATCTTCTAGAACAGGAAAAAGGGATACTTCCCCCCAGTTCACTTATGGGACAGCAAAATGGATACCAAAACCATTTTGTACAAATGTGTACAAAAGAAAATTGCAGATCAACCAATCTTATTCAGGAAMATAGATGTAAATCAGACAAAAAATATCAGCAAACTGATCTCCTCTTTTCTCTCTCTCTCTCTCACACACACATATACACACAGTAGGTTTCATGCTAGAAATCAATGTAATTCTCCATCAACACATGAAGGGGGAAATAATTTTAACAGAAGATTGTTAAAATTCTACACTGATTCATGTTGAACACTTGTAGGCAAACAGAAAACAGTAATTTCAATAGAATAAATGCTGTACACAAACAAAAATCCCCAATACTGCCCTAAATACAATTGAATATAAATACCAATACAACAAAGATTTATTTAAATGATGAAAGTTTGAAAGGATTTTCTCAGATTTGGAATGAGACAAGAATGTCCACAACTATCACTATTTCTATGTTTAGCTAATGTTGGACTTTTTTTAGCCAGTACATTAAGGCAAGAAAAAGAAAATGTTAAAGACTCAAAACTTGGGGCTGGTGGTGCAGCTTAGTAGAAGAGCACCTGCCTAGCGTATGTGAGGCACTGGGTTTGATCCGCAGCAYGTCATAAAAATAAATAAAATAATAAAGGTATTGTGTCCATCTACAACTAAATAAATATCTGTGTATAAAAAATCTATACACACACATATATAGAGAATCAAAACTTGTGTTTAGATAAGCAGCCAAAAGATTTGCAAATTATGAGTTGTTAGACTAAAAAAGGAAAAATCAGCTGGACACAGTGACACACACCTATAATCCCAGTGGCTTGGGAGGCTGAGGTAGGAGAATTGTGAGTTCAAAGTCAGCCTCAACAATTCAGCAAGACACTGTCCCTAAATAAAATATTAAAAGGGATGGGGAGGGGCTGGGGTTGAGGTTCAGTGGTAGAGCRTTCGCCTTGCACACACAAGGTCCTAGGTTCAATCCTCAGCACCACAAAGCGGGGGATGGGATGTGGCTCAATAATTAAATCCCCTGGGTTCAAACCCTAGTACCCCCCCCACAAAAAAGCAACACAACAGATAAAATCAAATACATGTTTTTACATCAGTGTACAAATAAAATGAAAATTTACTATATAATTTTAACAGATGTGAAAAGCAAAACGACTAACTTTTGGAATATAGAAACATCTTTTTTTTGATATGGGGTAGAAGATTTACTCAACATATGGATAACTCAACTATTAATAGACTTTGTAATAAAYAGACACAGAGAGAAAGAGGGGTAAGCCTCTGAGGGGAAGTTAGGAAATCCATGAATAATGGCAGGTTCATGTTAGAAAGACTATAAAAATGAGGAGGAAAAAAGATACGCTCTTGAAAGGGGAGGGAGGGCAAAGGAGTTGCTTGGTTTTGTTCTAGTTCAGTTTCTTCAGTTTTTCTTCTCTTTTGTGCTGCTGGGGTGGAACCCAGGGCCTTATGCAGACTAAGTAAGCACTCCCCCACTGAGCTAATTCCTAACCTGATGGCTATTTTTAAAGTGTATATACAATAGGTATGTAAAAAAGCTATAAAACAAAGTTTTAAAAGGCAGTAATTATACAAATGAGAAAAACAATCCAATCTACAAACACGAAAAGGATTTCAATTCCAATTAAATCAGAAAAACACAACTAAAAAAAGTATGGGAAACTACAAGTGGCCAAAACATGGGTGAGATGGTGAACAACAGAATCTCAAACACAGGTGCAAGTGTAATCTGGTACTACCTCTGGAAAASAGTTTGACATCTAGCAAAAATCAGGTATTCATACCCTGGAACACAAGGAAGATGGCATTTTTTGTGTTATGCAATGCCAAAAATAAAGTTGAACTTTTTTAAAAAGATATTTATTTTTTAGTTTTCTTAGGTGGACACAATGTCTTTATTTCATTTTTTTTAGAGAGAAAATTTTTTGAAATATTTATTTATTTTTTAGTTTTCGGCGGACGCATCTTTGTTTGTATGTGGTGCTGAGGATCGAACCCGGGCGGCATGCCAGGCGAGCATGCTACTGCTTGAGCCACATCCCCAGTCCTCTTTTCTTTATTTCATTTTTATGTGGTGCTGAGAATCGAACCCAGTGCCTCATGCAAGCTAGGCGAGCGCGCTACCACTTGAGCCACATCCCCAGCCCAAAGTTGAACTTTTTGAGAAAYCATCAAAGCAGAGACATACAAAATGTGTCATTTTTCATTTCTCTTGACTATGGGGTCTCTGGATTCCTTTAAAAGCTGGAAAAACAGAATTGTTTTGCAGTTTCTAGTATCAAGGGGACCATGTATGATTTTTGAAAGCTGCCTTGGATCYTGGGGTTCAGGAATTCCTATCCTAGAGATAGGTAACTATTCCTAGGCTAAACCAGTTAYATTTAACCTATTCCAATAGATTCTGTCGAATTTGCTAATATCATCCCAATTTTGGAATATATAACACTTATCCATTTCACACTCCTGTAGGCAGAGTCAAAGGTTGCCCTGAACACATTCACCCAACAGATAGATGCCCATTGTTCCTATAATTAGGTTTCCCTAGTAGCTGTGCTTAGTGTAGAATTTTTAACTTGGAATTCTTCTATAATTTCAGCATACACTATAAATAAATTTGTAATTTGGATTTACTAAACATCAACAAGTGAAGAATGATTAGGAACAGAAGGGCCAGCCAGGCATGGTGGCACATACTTGTAATACCAGCAAGCAGGAGGCTTACAACTTCCAGGGCAGCTGGGCAACTTAGTGAGGCTCTTTCTCAAAATAAAATAAAGAGTTGGGATGTAGGTCAGTGGTAGAGGCTCTTGGTTCAATTCCCAGAACCAGGAAAAAGAAAAGAAAAAGGAAAGGTGGAGTTGCAGAGCACAAAACAATTCTTTCACAGCTGGGACCAGGAGGTGGCATAAGAAAAACCTTTAGTTAAGAGGCCAGTAAGACAACACTGTCACCCTCTTCTCTATAGCCTGCCTCTGGTCATCCAGTCACTCCCAGAACAGCTCCCCTCACTCCACTATGAAGGATTCCAGAAGCTTAACTGGGAGTGGGGATGGCCAGAGTAAGGAGCCCCGGGTAGCAAGAGCAGTCATCAAGCAAAAYAAAGGTACGGCAGAGGAAATGAAATAGAAACCAACCAGTATCTTCTTGGGGACAGAATCCTAGCTCTCTCCTCAGGCCTGGGGGAGAATAGACCAGGCACACTGCAAGTGAACTTTTGGGTATTCAAGGGAACAAAAATAAATAAATAAAAATAAATTGAGGACATGGTTCAGCCTTCCAGTATTAGCAGCAAGGCACTATAGCTTCAGGCAACATGCCAAATTATGCTTCTCCCCAAGAATCATCATTGAGGCTGAATATATCCACATACCTCAGAAACCCACAGGTGGGAGAGGAGAGGGCCACTTGGAGCCACACCAGCTCCTGCTATCTCAGATAGGTCTAGCACATCTCCACTGGCCCTACGTGCGAGCCAAAGTTCCTGGGGTCTACCTTGCAGGATGCAGGGGTTATAACAACAGGACAGCCCAGTGGTACCAAGACCAAACTCTACATCTATAAAGGCAGCTCCCTACTCTCAGCCTTTTCTTTTCTGAAATCTTGAAGCTTCTTAGTGTGACTCAATTATAAAGTTCCACAAGTCAGGAAGCAATGCCTTGTGATATACCTGTTGTGACGGTGTGGAATCAGCCACCCAGGATATTTCTCAAACCAGTGGGCCCCAGGGCCAAGGGAAATCTGTTACTAGCACTCCACACCTAGATCACACAGCACTCATGGGCAGTACTTTCCACACACCTGCTCAATGTGCTGCTGCTTCCACTCTACAAATTGCAGTCTTGGCACACAATATCAGAGGCCTTAGTGACATGCTGGAGAAAAGCAAATCTGCCCTTAGGATGCTGGACAGTGGGCTGACCAGACCCCCACGCAGGTGTGTACCAGGGACAAGTCTGCCAGAACTAATTTCTAAAGTCTTCTGACCAAACCTGGCCTCTCCCTGTACATGTGGGATATGCACATTCTCTGCCAGTCTGTAACAATGCTGTGGGAACAGGGCACAGCTGGCCTCACAGGCTCCACCCCCAGCGTCAGGACAGAGTCAAGGCTTCAGGTGGTCAGGCAGGACACTTACTTCCCCTGTGGCCTTGTTAACTGGCAACTGCTTCTGAAACTTGAGATATTTCCCAGAGCTCACACTGACTAGGWACCACATTAGATTCCAGGAACTTGAATATGGGATTCTTTTAGTTTCACAATCCTCTACTGACATGAGCAAAAATATCCCCATTTTATGGATGAAGCAAATAAGGCCAAGCAACATATACAAGGTCACAAAGCTGGGGTAAACTGTGGAATGAGGGACTGAAGACATGTGGGACCTTGAGATTCTCCCCAAATGGCTTCTGTGTCCAGCTGTGGCAAGGTTAAGGGCCACACAACCCTACCAAWTTTTTTTTTTTCAGTGCTGGGGATCACACACGCTAGGCAGGTGCTCTACTACTGAGCTATAGTTTCTACCCACAGCCATGTTCCAGAGGAAACAAAGCCATAACAGATGATTTTCCTCAAGTAGTTTTCCTTCTGGGGCCCAGTCACTGAATGTAACCAAGGTCTTCAGGTGCCAGTGCAGGCCAAGAAATGGCCAATCTCACTCCCAAACACTTACCACAATAGAGTCATTATGAGTCAGGTCCACCACCACAGGCTCTAAAGATTCACAGGTGAGGTCCACGATTTCATCTCCAGCTTCAAAACAAAGCATTTCAACAGGTGTTAGGAGGAAAGAAAGACTGTAACCCCCCCCCCAGCCCAATTAATATGGTCACGAACATGGCATTGGCTTATACTGATCTAAAATATTCCTTTCCTACACAAAGCGCCAATTCCTTTCTGTAATAACAGCCAAAAAATATTCTTCCAGCATTTTGCCAAGTGGGGTGTCACCCGCCTGCCATGCCTAATAAAGCTTCAGCAGTGAAGGRGATGCTTCTCTCTTCACTCCTCCCAAGCTGGGCGGAGAACAAGGTGCCGTCTGTCGACCCCAACATGCCAAACTGGATTGGGCCAGCTGTGCAGCTTGCCTTCTGACCCCTAGCACATATGGGGGATGTGTGTATGGTGTACAGAAYGAAGTAGGAAGGACACGAACCCAACAGCAGTTACTAGCAGTTATATTTAGCAGGTAGGAACAAGGGGCAGAGTACCCCCTCCATTTACACACACACACAAAAAAAAAAAAGAAAAAAGAGAGAGAGACTTACAACCATTCGTTTCCAATTACCATCAGCAATAAAGAGTTTGAGGTAAAGATTTTATTCCCTGGGGCTGGGGGTTGTGGCTCAGCGGTAGAGCGCTCGCCTAGCATGTACAAGGCCCTGGGATCAATGCTCAGCACCACATTAAAAAAAAAAAAAAAAAAGATTTTATTCCCCACACCAGTATTGGTGATGAATCCAGGGGTGTTTTACCACTGAGATACACCTGCAGCCCTTTATGTTGAAATAAGATTTTGCTAAGTTGCCAAGGCTGGCCTTAAACTTGCCTCAGACTCCTAAATAGTTGGGATTCCAGGTGTGCACTGCTGGGCCTGGCATAAGGTTAAGACTCCTGCCAGGCAAAGTGGTGCACACCTGTAATCCCAGTGGCTTGAGAGGCTGAGGAAGGAGGATCACGAGTTCAAAGCCAGCCTCAACGASGTTGTGAAGCTCTAAGCAACTCAGTGAGACTCTGCCTCTCTACACATGAAAAAGGGCTAGGGATGTGCTTGTCTAGCATATATGGGTTCAGTCCTTAACACCACTTAAAAAAGTTTCACAAAAATAAAATATAATGTAATACCATCACACATAGGTATGATGTGTTATAGATAGACAAAGTAATCTGTACAAAAGGATCTCATTCTTTTTCTTTCTTTTTAAAATTTTTTTTTAGTTATACATGGACACAATATCTTTATTTTGTTTATTTATTTTTATGTGGTGCTGAGGATCGAACCCAGAGTCTTACACGTGCAAGCAAGCGCTCTACCGCTGAGCCACAACCCCAGCCCCTCTTTCTTTTTTTTCTTTTTTAGTGGAGATTGAACCCAGGGTGCTTTACCACTGAACTATACCTCCAGCCCTTTTTGTTTTTATTTTCARACAGGGTCTGACTAAGTTGCTGAGGCTGACTTTGAACTTGTGGTCCTCTGCCATCGCTAACAGGATATTCTAACAACTAATTCTCATCTAGTGCTCTCTGTCAGTGTCCCAAGTTCTAYGGAACTGACTGATTCTGTGGGTGAAGTCTGTTTCAGGCAGGAGCAGTGCTGGGTGCCGACCAGATGCATCCCGTGTGCTCCTATACCACACCTTGCCTTCTCTACCTCAGCACACCATGTTGTGGGATGCCTGACAACTTACCAGTTTCCACGAGTTCTATGGGTTCTGCTTCCAAGGAAATCTCAGGGGTGGAGGCTGCCTCCCGAGTTCGCTTCTGGGCTTGTCTAGAATTTACAGTTCCACCACGACGCTTTCTCTGAGGGTATCAAGGGGGGAAAAACAGTCCCATGAGTGCCAGACAGACAAGAAGAACAGAAGTGAACACAGGGATGAGTCAATTTAGGAGTGTGTAGATGTGAGGTTGGAGTGGATTTTAAAACGTGGGWTTTGAGAATACTGACTGCCTACGGAGAGGAGTCATCCAAAACATGAATAGAWTTTTTTTTTCTCTTTGTAGTGGATAGGTAAACACTCTACCACTGAGCTACAATCTTCTTCGGCTTCAGGGGACAGATCTCCTTCGGAGACTGTCACTGTTTATCCCGCCCCACACCACTCTAGCCAGTCTTTGCTCCACAGGCTCAAATCCCCTCTACCCTGTTGTGCTTCTCACTGCCACTGGGCCTGCTGTCCTTCATACTGAGCCATCTGGGGCACTTTTTCACTACTAAATCTAAAGTTCCTCACCAGTCCTAGCTTTGCAGAGCTGCTGTGAGGACAAAATGACATGAGAACGGTATGATCTCAATCCTGTATGCCTTTCCAGAGGAAGTCAACCTCAGAAAATTCAAGAAGGACCTTATATTAAAGCTGAGATATGCACAAGACCCAAGAATATCCACCACCCAACCCAACCCATGACAGCAGAGATAAGCCTGATTCTATTTGTGTTTTAGCAGATGGTTTAACACCTTCCTTCACATGTGCAGCACAGGGCCACCCCACCATCCCCAGAGCAGTTCAAATTCCCAATAGTGGCTCTGTGTCTCAAGAAAGATGCCTTTCCCACTGCAGTTGAACTCTAGTGCCCAGCAGGTCACATGAGCTGTCATCACAGTCTCCTTCTTCTGAAATACCATGTATTTCCCATCTCATCCACCCAGCTACCTGTACAAAAGCAGCCATGGACAACCTGGCTGCTCATGGCCCCTCCATGCCTTTAACCTGGGCTCTATCCCAGCGTGGTGTGCACTTCCCCCCTTCTTCACCTGACCAACTCCTTCAGTTTTCAAAAACCCATCCTCTACTTCCTCCTAGGCTGGCTGGCTGATTCTCTCTCCTCCACCTCAACTTAAGAGCAGGGTTGAGTTGAGGGGTTTGTTATCTCAGGGCAAGCTCAGTRCTCCTGGAGCATTTGTGGAGACACATACCTCTCTCTGACCTCCCATTAGTCCTGGTTAAGAATGTACCAGCTGAACTAGTAAAAGCTCAGAGCTTTTGGTGAAAATGAACCATCCAATCAACTACAGAAGTTACTCACACTGTAACTTAACCAATGCCTTCACAAGACCTCATAAAGGCCATATTGCTTTGCTTTGTCCTCCCCGTCTGGACAGAGATATGGCCTCAGAGGTAAGGCTTAGAATGTCTATTTCCTTATAGGTAGGCTAGGACAGCAGTCTACAGATAAAGGACCAAGGCGGGAAGTCACTCACCCTTTACAGGGGTAGGGGGGTGGGCCTAGAGACTCAGGAAGGGTAGGCTGGGCTGGTTAGAAAGGCATGGAAGGCAAGGACCTAAATGGCTAGATTACCCGAACAGACCTCATGTCACCCGTTCACTGAAGGAGCTGTCTGTTTAGCCTCACCCTACTCCTAACCACCCTTTAGCTTTACAATGCCATTCGCAGCACCTCTGGGGTCTGGAAAGAGATGATGTGGCTGTTTCACATCTGGTTTATCCCTAAGGAAGTCAGTGCATCTCAGAAAACAGTTCAGAATTTAGATAACATGAGCAACCTTGAGGCAGCTTTGTCAGGAGGAAGTAAGCAAGGGGACTTTCACATGCAAACTTCTATTGTGCTCAAGGGACTCCAGGTGACACCTGGGTTATGCTGAACCAGAGCTGCCTCAGAGGTGCAATGAAAGTCTAAACAGTAGTTACAATGACTGATTGACACAGGCCAGTGTACGTAAGAAAACTTCCACTTGATTATTACTGTCAGGTTCATGTTGAACACAAAGAAACAATGTAGAAGGAAAAATAGAAAACTGGGTTGCAAATAACCAAAACACCACAAAGGGCCTTAATATTTCTAGGACACAACTGCCAAGAAGGTTTGATGTTTTAGGCAGGCATGGTGGCATAATCTGTCATCCCAACTACTCACTGGAAGGTGGAGGCAGGAGGATTACACATTCAAGGCCAGCCTGGGCAATGTGGTGAGACCCTGTCTCAAAATAAAATTCAAAAAGTTTTTAAAAAGGTATGATGTTTGGGCTTGGGTTGTGGCTCAGCAGTAGAGCATTTGTCTAGTATGTACCAGGCCCTGGGTTCGATCCTCAGCACTACATAAAAATAAATACATAAAATAAAGATTAAAAAAAAAAAAGTATATTTGAATCTTAAGCCATTCCTCCTCAGCCTTCTGTTCTGGCTGGGGGCACCATCCCAACACCTGGAACTCAGCTGAAGATGGGCCCGTCGGTGCAGCTAAGGGAAGGACCCAGCACACACTCCATGAAGATCCAGGATCACCCAGAACAGTTCTCTCTGCAATGTGCCACAAAGGATAAGGAAGTTGCTTAATTTGAAAATAAAATCATGAGCTGGTGAAACTTACTGTACTCATTATGATCCTTGGCTCCAACCTACAGAAAGGGAAGTGATCTCTACCCAGGTTTGCAGCAAAGCAGAATATTCAACCTCTCATGCCTGCTGGTTACTCATCTTCTGGCTTAAAAGAATTTGGAGCCAGGCAGATTTCAGTATCTTCGAGTCCTGTCCTGAAAAACAAAGATATCAACTTGATAAATGCTGCTACCTACACTGTTGATTACAAAGTTCAGTTTACTATTTCACCAGTCCTTCCTGTCACAAAGTGCTCTGCTGAACACTTTATGCAGTTTATGTCACTAATCCCATATTCATTTTCAGAAGTAAGAATTCTTGCTGAAAATGGCATACCTGACCTCAAAGCTGCAATCAGAACCATTATGCCATCTCTGTGTGTGTGTGTGTGTGTGTTTTGGGGACTGAACCCAGGGCCTCATGTGCTTTCATACTGAACTATACCCCCGAGCACATCCTGCCCTTTTTGTCTGTGCAACCCTAACAAAAGCACTGTTATTTCCTGGGGGAAAAAATGAGTCAGGAATGACATACCTGACCTCAGCAACCAGGAGGGACAAAGCTTCCAAGGCCAAGAAAAGTCCTGAGCCTTGGGTTCTTTCTATAATTTCACTGTCCACCCTACAGATGAGCTGAGGAGACAACAGGTCATCCATCTTGCTCCCAACCCCCCTTAGGCTCCACAAGACTACTCAGAACATATGACAGTCCCAGATCCACCATAATTCCTAGGTTCTAATGCACATATTATTTATGTTTCTGGTCCCAAGAATAGCTTACATCTATGACACAAGATTTCCCCTCCCATTTGTCCACCTCAGTGATGTGTCTTCAAAATTAAAAAGAATCCAACACAAATGTCTTCCCAGAGAAGAAGGGAGAGATGCCTACTGAGCAATGGGGAAAGACGGGATGCACATACCTTGGCTGCTCCATAAGCCTCTTGCCTCTCACTGTATTGATATTTAGATTTTCAAGTATTGCTGTTGAAGATGCATCTTGTGTCTGGCCTTGCCTGCATGCCCATCACCACTCTCAGAAGCCAGTCTCCGGTATCCTTATAGGCCCAGCTAGACCACTGGCTTCCCTGGGAGCTTCATAGCTCCACAATAATTCATTCCAAGTCTAGTTTTTCTCTTTCAGGGATGGTGGGCATCAGAGTCAGAGGACAATGAAGCTGGAAGACTAGCCTTTGAAAGACCCACCCAAGGGCTGAATTTTACTAGGAAGTCAAATGGGGAGAGGGTATTCCCCTGCAGAACAAGATAGAAGGAGATCATGGGGAAGATATCTCATCAACCAAAGGGTTCTGGACTACACAGGGGACAAAAGCCCTCASGTAATAAAACAAGCAACACCTGAAAATTACAGGTTACTTTTCCACGCAAGGCACTATGCTAAGGACTGCCTCATCCTGAGCACTACACTTATCACCCAGTAAGAAAGCAGGCTCAATAATGGTCACTCTCTTACACAGAGGCAATTAAGTAAGGATGATCAAGAGGGAATTAAGGGGCTGGGGTTGTGGCTCAGTGGTAGAGTGCTCGCCTAGTAAGTGTGAGGCCCTGGGTTTGATCCTCAGCACCACATAAAAATAAATAAATAAAATAGAGGGGCTGGGGATGTGGCTCAAGTGGTAGTGTGCTCGCCTGGCATGTGTGCGGCCCGGGTTCGATCCTCAGCACCACATACAAACAAAGATGTTGTGTCCGCCGAAAACTAACTAAATAAATATTAAAATTCTCTCTCAAAAAATAAATAAAATAGAGGTATTGTGTCCAACTACAACTAAAAAATAAAATATTTAAAAAGAGGGAGATAATTTGCCCAAAGTCCACACTAGTAAACACCAGAATCCATGCAATTAAATATTACCTTAGTGCCAAATTAGAGATGTCCTAGAAACAATTAGAAATATGGAAATTTATTATTATTTCTGCTTATTTATTTAGCGCTGGGAACTGAATGCAGGGTGCTTTACCACTGAGCTACTCCCCCATTCTCAGCCCCTTGTGCATGGTAGAACAGCATTCTACCCTCAGCCCCTCCCAGCCCTTTTTATTTGTATTTTGAGACAGGGTCTTGCCAAACTGCCCAGGTTTGCCTTGAACTTGGGATCCTACTGCCTTAATCTCCCGAGTCTCTGGGATTACAGGTATATTCCACTTAGACTGGCTGGAACATGGGAATTTAGTATGTCTAAAAAGGAACTCTTGCTTCTTCCTTCCTCTATTATACCTGGTTCTCCACCAACTTTCCTTCATCTCAGCACAAGGGCCCACCATTCTTTAGTACAGAGGCAACTCTAAAGACACTCACTATGTCCTCATCTGATAGGGCTTTGTCCACTGTGTACCTACCTCCCCCCTATCTTATACAAGGAGGTTCTCATGTTTATTAAAGGGGTTGAAAATGGGTAACTGATAGTGCCCTTGTCGCTAAGAAAGGATCTGGGGTAGAGCAGTAGCTGTTCCTAACTGGGAATGATCAGGAAGGCTAAATGCCAGAATTCCTAAAGCTGTGAGGGTGGGAGAGAAACACTCATGCCAGGGTACTCTGTAACAGAGTGACACCATAGACCTAAATGAGAGAAGGCAGAAAGGAAAGAGTTGCTGAGGGTAGCTTTAATGTTAGCAATGCTGGATATGAGAAATTCTGGTGGAATGGTCCAAAGATGGATAGAAAAACTCAAATGGTAGAACTGGGGTCAGAGATTTCAGAACATGTGAATGTTTAGGGAGGGAGGGAGGTAGAGAAAGAAGAGCCTGAAAGARAATTAAAAAGCCAGAAACAAGGTAGGAGAACGTGGATATCCATTTAGACAAAACCCAGCATTTGTAGAGCTAAGGATGTAGCTCAGTGGTAGAGCGCTTACCTGGCACTCACAGGCCCTAGTTTTGACCCATCATTGCAGACTAAGCAACCAACAACCTACTCTGTATGAGTTTCAAGGAGGAAAAAAGCAATGAACACCTTGGAAGATGCACAGGGTGGGGGGTGGTGTCTAAAAGAAGGCTAGTGAGCTTAATACAGGATGTTGAACACTGGGGAGCAAGCCAGATGAAAGCAAGAGCAAAGAGGTCATGTTCCAAGACCAAATTGTACTAAAGATCAAACAGGAAGGCCAGAGGAGGCCATATGGCATTTTAGGCCTACAGTGAGGAGCAAGTCAAGGAATTAAGTAGGTGGGTGGGGTGGTTAGAGGGAGGAAGGATGCCCCAGAAGGATGGAGTGCGGGAAAACTGAAGACAGCAAAGGTTGACAGTGTTCAAATCATAACAACCCTCATAMACCACACACGCATGCTAGCGACAATGAATAAAGATCTTCATTTAGAGAGACTGTGTCACCTGTGTGCTGAGAGGGCAGATGGAAGATTGAACAAACCAGAATGTAGACCAGGGAGGAGACTCAGGAACCAGAGTAGAAGAAAGTGGCATGGCTCAGAGGCAGTAGCAGAGTGCAGGAGAGAGAAATGGGACTACCAGATGGCAACCAGGAGAGCTCTCGGGCTTTCTATGTTCTGACAGATTTTCATTTTTTTCAACATAGCAATCATGGTCACTTACAACGATGCCCTCCCCATACTCTAGGAGAAACGTGACATATAACCATACGCATATTCATCACGTACATTTGTTGACTGTATAGCCATCATGTGTACAGCARTGTGACCTGCATAAAGGCTAGAAACAGACTGTAAGGCAAGCAGAAAACAGGAAATGTTAGACTGGAACCAGATTCTACTAGTAAATCTCATACTACTATATTCCCAAGAGCAAAGAAAGGAAGTCAGAGAAAGGGTCTGGGGTAGGGGCACAACAGAAACAGAATAAAGCACAATGAGATGTTCTCTAGGTCTAGCCCAGTCCTGCAACAGGCACAGAGCCCTCAAACCATGCCAGAGCAGCAGCATCTGAATCATCTACTGAAAATCAGAACCATAACTCCCCTGTTCTGGCTCTATCCACACTAGCCAAGTGACTCCTTGTTCATTTCCCATGTGGGGGGTGAGGGGTGGGGAAGGAGCCYAGGTACCAGGTCATTCCTTCTGTGTTGCAATCATAAAGCAGTCCCACTGTGAACTCATAAGGGGTTACTGGATACAAGGCCTAAGTCTCCTTTGAGTTTGGACAAGCTGATTAGGGTAAGTTCTTTTTGATGGTGTTGTAAAAGCCTAGAAGTCAAATCCTACAGAACACCATTAAGGAAATCCTGACAAATCAGTGACTGACTGGGTATTGGCTGGTTCCAACTGCCTGGCTCATGTCTTCCTTTTATAAGCCACAAACTTTTGATCATTCCCATTTTAACTCTCTCTAGATGGATTTTTTTTTAGTTGCAGATGGACACAATATCTTTATTTTTTTTGTGGTGCTGAGGATTGAACCCAGTGCCCCACACGTGAGGGAGGCGCTTTACCGCTGAGCTATAGCCCCAGCCCTCTCCATGGAATTTCAAAAGCAGAATTATAGAACATATGTTAAAGAGAAAGAATAAAAAGACTGCATGGCTCGATTGCTTTTGTAAACAGTGTCAGAAATTCAGCTATCAGCAAAGTCCAGTCTCCTACGCACTATATGTGAACACTAAAACTGCCAATAACTTTCAAAGCTTCTTAAATGGAACTCTGATGCCCCTGTCACACCAATAACCACAACTTAGTATTCAAGAAAAATACAAGCTTCTTGATTGTTAGACTAAGGACCCCCTTGCAAATACCAAAATCCACCTGTGCTCAGGCAGTATTTGCAATATAACCTACATACACATTCCCGCATACCTCAAATTATCTCTGTTGCTTATAATACAACGTGAATACTATATTAGTAGTAGTTTCAGTGGCCTGGTGCAGTGGTACACATTTGTAATCCTAGTGACCTGGAAGGGAGAGGCAGGGGGAYCACAAGTTCCAGGCCAGCCTCAGCAACTTAGTGAGACCCTGTCTCAAAAAAACAAAAAAGGGGGCTGGGGTTGTGGCTCAGTGGTAGAGCGCTTGCCTAGCGCGGGCAAGGCCCTGGGTTCAATTCTCAGCATCACATAAAAAAAATAAAGGCGGGCTGGAGATGTGGCTCAGCGGTAGCGTGCTCGCCTGGCATGCGTGCGGCCCGGGTTCGATCCTCAGCACCACATACCAACAAAGATGTTGTGTCCG